GTGGTGTTTGAACGTTACGTACTATTTCGTCAAAGAACCACTTTGGTACTATGAAGAACAGACTCAACTACATGCAAACCATAACAAACCCAAATGTCCACAAACCAAGATATACTACGTACAGCACATAGATCAATAGCCATATTCTCAGATATTGTTTTATTGTTGCACACCATGCCCCTTGGGCAAACTAAAAGCATTATTATCCAGTTCGGACCCCTCCGTGGTATATACCACCTTTCTCCATTAATCACACAACTTTTAGCTTAATATTACACTCCTGCGTTTAAGGTTCACAGACCTCTCCTAATGTCGCTACACACGAGTAAGTGTCGATAAATTGTACCACGGTAATACCAACAGCGACCAACTTCTATTCGCATATCTTACTTGAATCATGCCTACCTTTCGCGGCGACTCACATCACAATACTTCCCCTTTCTTTTTATGTGCTCAGATTTATATAATCACAAAACGGTCTTAAAATCATGTGCAAGACGAATTCTATATATCTCCAACACCAGGTTGTCATATCCCTGCTTGTGTGCTATCACTTGAGCATGTGACCCTGAAGTAGCTCCCATTCAACTCAGAATTGAACTATAAAATTGCATCAAGCTCCCTAATACCATGGGCAAAAAAAAGAGTCTCTGGCACACTATTTTCCGTTCATGATTCCCAGTCCATCCCTTCCGAATATACCGCTGCCTAGACCACTCCCAGATCACAAATAAATAAAATACCTCTCCACAAATCAACACATAATATAGCGATAGTGTACTGCATAGGCTCTGGTATACATACCCCTCCCCTGGCCGACACACTCGAGTAGGTGTCCACAAAGTGTTTCACTATCGCCTCATCGCTATTTTTGTCGCTCGCCATAATCTTCGGAGACAGATGGCAACTACGTATATCAGATGTGCACGTAAACGCTACAAGACAGGGAATAAATATGGGAATAAATATGAAGGTTGGTCTTTGAATAATATTGGGTTTAGGAATTTTTAGGGTTTTCACTTTTAGGGTTCTTATTCCACACCCGAACAGGCTATGTATAATATGGTCAGATAAATCAAACAAGAGGCTATGACAAGAAAAGCTAGTTGTCGGTGCCAATTTCCATTAACGGCAACAGTGGTTACCTGGCAGTCAGACATTCCTTGACCTACGACCTAGATCATGCTTCCTTGTCTCTCTATATAGAGACTCACGAACGATAACTCCGGATGTCAGCATCCCTTATATAAGTTCATACAATGCTCTGGTCTTCATAAAAGAACGCGAAGCATGTGACGTTCCCACCCTTTTCCTGCGTGGATAGAAAAACCGCTTGCCAGCTTTATTCTGCAATGTTGCAGCTATTAATATGCGTGAAGCCGGTATGTTTGACTGCTAGAGATATCGCTTGCTAATTTTCACCCTCTAACGTTGCCGCTGGTGACACGCGTACGTATCGTTGAAATTTATACTGCTAGTCGGTGTTGTCTGATAGTGGAGTAGTGCTGCGTTCTAGAGAAAACCACGCAATCCCGTTCACCCAGACCTGGGTTAGGTATGGACTACGCAATGCTACAGTGCAGTGGGAGATGGTACAGTACTCATACTGCAGTAGCTTCCCCTTGCCGTCGGAGACTCTCCGTGATTTTAAACTGGCTAACAATACTGGAAGGAAAAAAATGCAGTACAACTACAGAATAGCGCCAGAAGAGTTGGGCCGAGTCCGCTATAAATTTAGAACTAGTACAGAAAACATACAGTACTATTGGTTTCACATACTTTGAACAGTATTTACCATTGTATGAGTTACTCGCGCCAAGCTAGCAGGCATACCGGAATGAAGTCCGCTAACCATATGAATTACAATAGCACTAGTCAGTCCCACTTGGCTTTCGCAAGTACAGCCCGCCTAATCCAGACAATCAATTGTTAAGCCCTTCGTTACAATTCCCGACAGCAAGTCTCGCTCACCTTAAGGCCGTACTGTGTGTCACTACGTATCTCGTTGCACCTCGCTTTTCGACAAATGACACATGGCTCTTCCAAACCCTATATAATCTGTTTTATCCGAAATAGTGGTCAGTCCACTATTGCTTGTTTGTGCACTCACACGGCAATTCGTCTGAGGTCATATATGATGTGAAGACTATAGCAAACCTAATGTTACCTAAGATACCTAATGTTAATGCTTCGCGATTATGTGTTTGCATACGATTATGTGTTTGCGGTATATACCACGATTGCATTTGAGATGTGCAGAAATATTTGTGATGATTGAGCGGTGAGGTCTAAGTTGTGATAGTTGGGCAGAGTGATCGGCAACTGTACACACCGTAGTAAGAACACGAACGGCGAATATTGCTTCACTTGTGCTACGGTTGCTGATAAAAGGGATATCTAGGTTTTCTGCAGAATTGCCACAAAATGGTCGCAATTGCAGATTTGTTCATGTTATTCGGTTTCCAGGTCTGTTCCTGCCGCTTCCTATTGTGTAGTCAAGTTAGATGGCTGCTGTTGTACTGCCTTACATCCTGCAGCTGGGTCACTAGAATTAAAATGGAAGACTTTGCAGATTCCGATATAGCCTGCGCTCTAAGCGGTAGAAAGCGCGCCAAGGAAGCACGCGAGCAGTGGTAATGCTTGTATCTGTACACCACACAGTGGGTTGATATGCATACACCAGTAAATTGCAAATTGAGCTATAATGTACATGCCATTGATGAGCATGTAGACACTCGACACGTTGCACGACCATTGGACATTGCTGAAACCAGCCAGCACAGCAAGCACATGGTGAAGGCCGGGACTGAGAACGGGAACAAAGACATACAAAGTCGGCATTTGACTTCACGTTGGTGTTCAGAAGTCCCCCAAGCACTTGAGTGGTGGTAGCCTGGCATAGCAGATACTATAGTACTCCTCGTATAACGGCTACATATGTGCCTTCCACATCTCCACTAAAGGCTAAAAATCTTATATAAGCGAACCAGAATCAACTGTTTCTGCTCTGAAATTCAGAGGCGGGTCTAGGAGGAACCACCATTGTGATAGTTATGGCCCTATGAATTATGTGCGTGTTGCGTTGGTTATATACAGACCTCAACCATACCATGCAAAGTCTTGCAGAAAAGTGGGCCCGAACTCGCCATAGGCAGCGTGTACAGGATTCCTATATCTTGTTGTAAACGACGAATACGCCCCCATATGCTGGAACATACTGGGCATAGACCTGTACGCGCTCATATCCTCCTGCGCCGCGAAGTAGAAGTATATCTCATGATCTACAGGTTTGAGTACCTCCACATCTCGTAACGTGAACCGCTCCTCCAGGTATGTGTGAAGTTTAATCACTGAGTGTCTTGGGAACGCTATCGCGACTGTAGCGTCCGTATTGATGACCTCTACGACAGTGAAGTGTTTGCGTGGTGATAGAGGGTCGTAGTACTGCCTCGCCCCATACATCCCCGTGAACAAAGTTGCAACCAGTATCACTATGACAACCGATTGATATGTGTATGGGTGTACTACAGAGGGTGTGCCCAATCTACGCTCCACTACGAGACATGTAAGTACGCTCAGTGTGTACGCTATGACCGCTAAGGCAAGCAGGAAATATATAAACATCTTGAACAGAGACATCGGTGGTAGCCCGATATCATTGGATTGCTTACTGGTCTGATATAACTTGATCATACCCACTTTTTCCTCAATACCAAACACGACGTCCGAGTCTAATATGTACTGATGGAACACAAGTGCCAGATCACTGGTTGCCATGGCATCATCTTCCACTACCAAGCACCAATCACGTGCGCTCTCCTTGCACGCTTGCAAGGTGCGTAGGTAATCGTAGTGCTCGTTGACATACTGTTGGTATAACGTAGTGTAGCTGGTGTTTGTATGTGCCCTGCCCTCCTGGCCTGGGTGCAGATCTACGACATCTACTGCTTCAATCTCGCGTAGTCTCGCCAATTCAATGTGCGCTTCGCTGGGCTCTTGTGTGTTTATAATACCTATGTGTAGACTTTCTAGTATGCAGGTTTCTTTCGACACCACAGAACGCTCATTCAACGCCTCCCTCGCTCCCCTTGTCGACGGTACAATCTCGTTGTCGTTGCTAGCTCGTGGTGCACTACTAGTGTGAAGCAACGACCACAAGGCTAATTTGATATATGGCAACTTCCGATTGCGAGTTATGATCTGTATCTGTATATCACGTACACTCTCACATTCTTTACGACGTTGCAGATTTGAGGATAACTGCACGTGGTCATGCGGCCCATCCAGCCCTATACTTTCATAGTAGTCCTGAGCCAGGGACATGTAGCTGTTATGTTGTATCTCTCGCTCTACTGTAGAAGGCGTCAAGCAACTACCGGGCGCGAACAAGTGGTACTTCCATACCCAGAGATTGACTATTGCTAATAAACCTATAAGTGCGGACAGTACCTTCAAAATAAGGCGAGAGCTGAGCATTCTTTGCAGAAAAGCTGTTTGGCGTGGATTTGGCCTACAGCTACCCCAATTTCTGAATCTATTCGCCCGTACCCGATTCTGGCTGAGATCGGAACTCGAATCGAACCGGCGCGAATCCTTGTCATATCCATCCCCTATGGCTATGTTAGTCCCCGTTATGGAGCGCCGTAATATCATGGGTTCTCCCTTGTGGAGTTGTCACGTGGCCTTCCCTGCAAGCAAGAGTGGCCACATGGATGTGTTTATATTCGATCGTAATGGATGATAAAGGCTCATTATTCAAGCTACAAAGGCTTTTGACGTGACTGTGTATCGCTCATCTCCAGGTACGTATGAATAAAATGCTCGCTCACGTTGTTTTGTAAATATATATAGATACATATATATTATATATCTAGTCCACTTTTTACTTTTTATATCTAAATATTTAGAATATTTACAGGGTTTTTGATTTTTACGTTTTTACTATTATTTTCTGATAAGAAAAACACTTTGTATCGAAATTAAATATACCGGGATCAGATTACGGGACGGTACCTATAGCACAACTCTACAAATATAAATGTCTATAAATATTACCGTTTTTATAAACGTTTACTAGTGAGAGACCGATTTCACAACAGGCTCGCGCACCCCAGCTACATCCCAAAAGATCTACCCTACATACATAAGGCAAATTATAGTTTGTGGGCAGGAGGGCGTTTATATTTTTTATTTCGCGACATATTTACGATAATACTTAGGATTACCACCACTATGAATGCCACTGGAATTTGTTGTCACTACACTTGCCTCCTAAGGTTGCCATTCCTAAGTCTGACGCTTACACCTGCCACTTTTATGACTGATGTTTACGCCTTCCACTTTTCATATGATACAACTGTTGAAACCTCCTTTTTTTAGCCAGCCGCTGGTATGTCCATCATTGATTTCTACCGCTTTTTATACTGTAGTATTGGTATCTTATTCAAACACCATCCATCTAAATTTCAACTTGTACACTCCTCACCGTACGCGGTGTTCTTTGTGTGCTTTGGCGTTTATATGGCCGTGTTCTAGCTGCTACTCAAATCACTTACCGAAGAAGATGTTAGGCGATACATGAGTCCTCCCGAGATTGGCAATTTCCAACCAGACGTCGTTTGGGGTAACTTCAACTTCAACTTCAAAGCCCTGTAAACTTGATGGTTCTGAGGTTTTGGGACTTGGATCAGCTTTATGATAGTCTGGTCCCCAGATGCAAGAATTTTGGAAACCAGGTTGCGTTGGGGTAGTGTAAGATTCAGTCTAATAAAGGCGATACTAATGCCTTAGAATAAATAAACGCGTAGGTAAATTCTAAGTATCGTGTAAATATCGATATA